TGGGCAGCGGGGCAGGAATGAGAGCGGGGGGCGAAGGAGGGAGCCGCTGACCCCAGTGTTGGTGCGGCAGCTCGGGGGTCCCCTGGCAGAGCACTTTTGGGGTATCAATCACACGGGGCGGCCTCGGCTGGTCCAGCGGCGCTGCAGGAAAGCCGTCCTTCCCTTCTCTCTCTCTCTCTGCTCCTGCGGCCGCCGGGTCCGGATCCGGGGGCCGTGTCCTGCGGGACCCCCGCCCGGGGGGCAGCCGATCCCCGGGGCTGAGAAACAGCAGCTCCAGCAAAGAGCCATGTTTGTAAAGATGAAGCCTGTTTGTGCGTCCGTGCCGGTGTCTCGGCTTGCATGCCCTGCTGCCTTGTCTTGAGATGAATTCAAGAGCAAACCAAGCAAACGAAACGGTTTAAAAACAAAAGAAAACAAGACAAAACCCAGGAACTTTGTGACAGTGGAAATAAAAGCTTAATGACAGTAACGAAGCACCGTTGGTCTGTGATGTGCTGTGAGGGGAAGGCAGACAGGTCGGAGGGTGGGGGGGCACGGATCGGGCTTGCTGCCTCTTGTGGCCCCCAAATTTGCCCCACACGCTCAGCGAAGCCAGGCGCTGGGCCGAGGGTGTCCGAGCGTCCGGTGCCGTGTGTCCCCAAGCACAGGACTGCGGTGGCCCCGGCAGCGAGCGGTGGCCGGGCTGTGCTGGCATGGCTGCGCGCAGCGGTGGCGGCAGGCAGACCGGCGGGCAGCGTGCCCACGCGCTGTGATGAGCTGTCAGGTCTCAGCTCCAGGCCGGGGACACGTCAGGGACCGTTCACCCCCGTAACACAACTCCTTCCGCCTCCCTTTAGCCAGACCGGCTTTTTTTCTGCCAGCTCCTATCCCCCCCCCAGCACCCGCATCCTTTCTTCTATTTCCCCTTTGCAGCAAAGCCGCTTGCAGCGGTGCCGTGCTGCCTGCGCCGTCCCCGGCTCCTCCTTGTCCGTGCGGCGGGCTGAGAGCCGTCGGGTCGCTTTTGGCGCACAATGGCTGCCGAGGAAGCTTGATATTAATATCTCGTAATTGTGCCTCACAGCCCGGAACGGAGGTGCCCCTCGGGAGCCCCGGCGGCGGGGGGGGCGAGCCGGGGGGCTCGCAGCCCGGACTTTTCACGTGCGGCGGGATCGCCTTCGCCATTCCGCCCTGCCAAGTCTTGCGGAAACCAGCGCCGCGAGGCCTCTCTGCCAGCCCGTCGTCGTTTGTTTGCTCGCCTAACGAGGCTGACTAATTATTTTCGGGAGGCCGGAGGAGGTGCCCTAACAGTGGAAACAAGGAGGCTGTGTTTGCCCAGGGGGTTTTGTTCGGAGGTGGCAGCACATGGTGGGGGACACCCGGGGATTTGTCCCCCGTGTCGGGGAGGGGGTGAGGATGGGCGTAGGCGCCGAACCACAGTGGTTACGCAGCGGCTGTGCCCGGCTTCGCTGGGCTTTGTCCCCCAGCAAGGAAGGGGTTAAAGCCCAGCTGGTGTACTGGGAGCGAATGGGAGCACTGGTGGGTGTGGGAAGGGCTGGCTGGGATTAATTTGGTGATGGGGAGAAGCTGTTTGGGTTTCTTGGTGTGGGCATCGTTGCAGGGGGGTGCTCTGTGCCGGGGTGCAGGATGGAGTCGGGGTACGGGGTTCATGGCTGGGGATGCTCTGCGGTAGGTTTGGTGGCACTGTGGGGTGGGGGACCCCCCTCCAAGATTGCCCTGAGAGTGGGGCTGGGGGTGCAAAGCCTGGGGGGG